GTGATTCACTACTAAGTTGGATTTTCCAGTCAGCACGTACGTACTTTGAGCAGCTTCTCGCTATAGAAATAGAAAAATACGCTATGGAGTTTATTTAGCGTTGGCGGCATGCTCTATGCGTCGGCGAAGAGGACGATGCCGGAGCATTCGTCTGGGTTTGTCGACATTTACTGTTTGTTGTTTTTGTTCTAAAGCAATTGAAAAGCAGTAAGCAAATACTTGTATAAATACTTATCTATGTATATACATATATGTATATATATGGTAAGCATGATTGTATATTGTGCTGGTTAATGAATTGATGAGATGTTACCAGTGAGTAATAACTGTGGAATGAAACTAGTGACTGTTTAGCGCTTTGGAGTGTAACTATTGATAATTTGACAATATGAAATTTTTGTATAAAATATTCACATATATATAAATAAATATATGAGATCTAAGGTTATAATATTTTCTTAGCGATATAATTGTAGTTATAGATAAGCTTCTCTTTGACCTTGGAGTAAATTGTCAAATTGTGAATTATTGATTCCTTCCTAAATAATGTGGGCCAAAAGCGCGTCCTTCTACAAAAAGCTGTATCAGATTCATTAATAATTTTAGTAGTATTGCACATGATTTGGCAAATTTTAAGCAAACTGACTTATTTGTTTGTCATTTACTATATTATGGCAAAATAAGTAAACACGGCTGCATCGAAGTTATAATACACTTCACAGGTGTATTTTTTATAACATTTTGTATGGCAGCTATATACTGTAGCAAACAAGCTGAGAGACTAGTTCACGTATATACAGACGGTAATGGCTAAATCGACCTGTTCAGGGTATAATCATTATTGGTAACGATAACCCAGTGATTTTTCAAACACTTATAAGATTAGTATCCTTCAAATGGGACAGAGTTTTTCACTAGTCTTCAAAAATATTTATTTACTACTGGGGGCGACTGTGTAAACTTTGGAAACTTGAGCCGTTCCTGTTAGTCTGTCAAACTGTCTACCAAATGCTTCATTATTTATACACAAAGATGCATTCATAGCCATTATTGTTATTGTTGTTACTATGTACACTTGTTGTACAAGCATCATTTACTACTATTTGTTATTGTCGTTGTTACTTTTAAAACGCATCTTTGCATATTGTTGGGATTATTGTTTGCCTGTTTTTGTTTTTCTTCATTTCCGGTTCTAAAACTATAGAAATAAAAATATTGGAAAGTTGAACGTTTTGAAAGTAGCGAAACTCAGGTACAATATGGGAAATTAAAATTTAATATGAAAATTTGTATAAATCGAAAAATTGTATATTGCTGTAGTATTGGATAGCCTCTCGTATCGTCTTCTTTAAAGTTTTCCTCTTCATATTTTTCTGCTCAGGTATACTTGAGATCGTATTTTCAAGCAATTTTTTAAATATATTTTCACACACTGAACGACATATTCGGTATAAAATTTGTTAGAAAAACGAAAATCCTTATATGTAGTATATAAGAGTTGGGGGTAGTATTGACCCGATTTGATCTATTTTTGCCAATACCACATACTATTACCATACAACGTACAAATAAAATGCTCTCTGCGTTTCATTAAACTACCTCCCATACCATCAACAATGAGTATATAGTAGTCAGCCGGATGTTCGAAAATTCTGATATTAGTTATAAAAGAGCTAGGTAAAGTTTTTTCTCGATTTCATCCCTTTTAGGCTTTATACACTGGAATGTGAAAGAATCAGATGGAAATTAAAATTGTATTATATGAACAGTAGTTCAATTTCCTCCATTTTCGCACTGTAATATAGGAATATTAAAAGAATATTATATGCCGAACTTATTTGAAATCGGCTGAGCAGGTCCCGCGATATATGATTTCACTTAAAAGTGGGCGGTGCCACGCCTATTGACCAATTTTATCATATTCAATACTAGCTCCTATAAAGCACTCAAAACCACAGGTGTCCCTATAATTCCGTGGGGATTTATGTAAGCCGACGTACAGAGGGTCACCCGGAGTTCAACTCGGCTCGTCATCCTGATCATTTACATATGCATAACCCTATATCTATCGCGATTAGTTTTAGGTAATACAAACAGTCGTTAGGTGAACAAAACTATTATACTCTGTAGCAACATGTTGCAGGAGTATAAAAAGTAGATAATCTCCAAATATCGTAGGTTTCGCAAAAATCTTTATGCACGTATGGCCTATTTGCTTGTGTTTTGAAATCAATGCATTTGAAAGCGCTAACCCTGCGGACGGCTGCGTGTGACATCCATGGCGTATACGTAATTTTTTCTTTCTCATAGGCAGCTGAAAGGGCACAACCGGGTTTTCACACATATTTCTACATACACATGCATTTTGAAAATATTACAATGTACCATTTTTGGCTTAACCCATTTTATATTTAAGCGTTTTGTTTGTGTGCAAATGCTTGTTATTTTTTGCATGTTTTAGTTGGCTACTAATATTTTCTCGCCTATTTTTCGCCTCATTGCATATGACGCATGACGCGTTGCTCGCACTTGAGTTAATATTAACACAAGCATATACTCCTGTTACATATGTATTTGGAATTTATTGTCTCACGCATGTGTGTGCGTGTGTGTGTTTAGTTGTAGTTTCTCGCTCTTATTCCGTGCTTTCGCATTAGTGGTTTTTTACACTAGTATTTTTATGCTTTCTGCCTACTCTACATTTTATGTCCACATACTTCTGTAGTTGTGTGTACTGGTATATGTATAAAGTAGGTGCACTTGTATGTTGCTAAAATAAGTAAGTCAATAGTGGCCCCGTAGCACAATAACAAGGCGCTAGAGTTTTGAGGGCTATAATGAGCGGCGTGCACTTAAATATAAATATATATACATACGTACATACAAATATGCAAATGGGGCATTCCATATGCGTTAGGCGACCCCGATTTTAAAGTGTTTGTGTAATTTAATTTACACTTTTTATGAAGGAGGAATGCTGCTTCATCTATTTTTTTCGAAAAAGTTGTATATTTTAGTTTTGATATAAATTTCAGTCAATAACTCTAGCTTACAATCTTTAGGGAAATGAAAACAAACCTTAAAAATTTCGCACACGTCCTTTTCTCCCCGAAATTCCCAAAATTTGTCGGAACTACCGATTTAGGACTACTTTAGGATATAGGTAGCTATCATACAAACTGATCGATCTAATTCAAGTCGTTGTTTCGAAAACTTTTTTATATGAAAAATTAGCCTTACGAAATTTAGCACAGATTATTGTCGAAGCCCATGCAGCAATCTCCGAACAAATGGTTCAGATTGAACTTGTATAGCATATAGCTGCCATACAAACTGACCGATCAAAATCAACATAAAGATCTTTTTCTACCATTTTATGCTATAAAAATGCACTTGTCAATGGTGCAGCCGAAGTTAATATTTTTAATTGTTTGATTATTTGCTTTTATTTTAATTATTTATTTGTGTTTTTTGCAAAAATATATATTTTCGTTTTTTATTGTAAAAATTATGTGACAAATATAAATTTTCGTATGAAAAATATATAAGCTTATGAAGAAAATTCCCAAATGATTCGAAAAAAAACATCTTGTGATAAAATAATGAATAAAATATTTTTCTAATCAAAAAAAATGTAAGCAATTACATTGATTTTTTGAGTTTCTTATACTTAATTACACATGCAATACACAAATACAACCTTATATCCATGGAACCTTTACTTGGAATAACTCACATTCTAATCTGAATACCAGTGGCTTAGCATGCAAAAATACTCGTGTGTATTTTGTATTTCTTCTCTATTATGCACATTTTTATAGATTACGAAAATATTTACCACTACCAAGCAGTTATCGATGCCTAGAACAAGCAAAAAAAAAATTAAATCATCGAATACTTGTGCTAAGTTACCCCAAAAGCCTCTCATTCTTCATCTCCCTTTGGCACGTCAAGTGTGCCACTTATATTCTACATTTAACCGCACAGTGCCTCTCGTGCCTTTCGCACCACTTTTACCGCTAAAGCACCACCTACGCCAAACCGCCATTCACTCGTATACGAATATGTAATTGATTCCTCCGCCAGCCTGTCATTGAGTGCAGATTTTTCATATTTTCCATTTTTTCTATTCCCATATTTTGTTGTCTTTCAAGTGCAATCAGATATGTAGCTAATACAGAGTACACACGAGCACATATTGTACATATGTATGTCTGTACATAGTTGGCAAACAAACGGCTATAACGCACTACATATGTATATACATGTACATACGTATGTAAGTGTGTTTGTGTGTGTATGTGTGCATATAAGTATTTGCTATTCATACAACAGCTGCTGCTGATGATGATGATCATATCGGACTAGTGTTGTTGCCGCCAAGTTTGGCGTCGATGATGCCTTCAGCAGCGTTTATTGAATCAAAAGATGATTCAGTTTGTTTATTTGTGCCACTGACGGCTACCACGTTCACCGCTCCGCGCAGCACCGCACGTGTTCGGCTTCTTAAAACTATTTTGCTTTGAATGATTTAATTGGCAATGTCGGTGTGTGTGTGTATGTTTGTGAATATTAGATACATTCAAGTGCTTAATCGCTTTTTCAATGTGAGTGCCACTCATAGATATCTGTTGCAGGCCCCCGCACCACCTCTGGATGGTCATCACTTTTGTAAGTATGCCACAGACGTCGCCGCTACAACCGCAATTCGCATTTCCCCATTCATTCGGTATGCCAGTATTTCATAGTTCAGTAGATAAATGTGAAAGAGCGCAATGAGTTTTTGATTTTGTACGGTGAGGGTGAAATTACGAAAAATAACTTAAACAATATTGTATTAAAAACTAAAATTGTTTTCATGTAAAGTGTGCCCGACTTACTGTTGGTGTGTTAACTGCACTTTTCTACCAACAACCAATATCATTTCAATTAATCTTTACCCAAACTACTTGTACTCATTTATATTTTGTATTTTCTAACGTCCTTGCATTACATTGCAGCTCCTTAATAAATTACACATAACACATTAGAAATTGAAACGGTATGGTGAAAATGGAATCCACAGAAGAACAGGATCGAAAGTTAGTATTGGAGTTTTGTCATTTGCTCGAAAAGTCTAAGCAACTCTTCAACGGCCTCAGGTAAGCTAACTTCTATACTTCCGGTTAGTACATTTAGATATTAATTATATTTAATTGTTCTTCCGCAGAGACCTGCCACAATATGGTCACAGGCAGTGGCAGGCGTATTTCGGGCGCACATTTGATGTCTACACGAAATTATGGAAATTCCAACAACAGCATCGCATGGTATTGGACTCGAAATACGGATTGAAGCGTTGGCAAATAGGCGAAATTGCAAGCAAAATTGGACAGCTTTATTATCATTACTAGTAAGTAGCCTAAAATACATTTATTATTGTAAATTAAGCATACGTTTAACCGGAGCCGCGAATTGGGTGCATACTTAGTAGCCTCCATTTGATATTAGTAAAAGAACGCTGAGATTAATTATCAAACGTTCGGCGTGTTAAATAAGTAATTTACGTCGTAATCTGAACATAATCTTGTATTAGATGTGCATAGTAATGAAGGAAATCATCGATTATTTTTTTGAAAGCTTCTTCTAAAAGGCACGAAAATCCTATCATTTATAACCACTTCGTAATTTTTCTCACTTTCGATTATTTCCTAGAAATTATCCATAATTAAAGATGTTGAGAATACGTTTACTTTTATTCCCCATATAGACCTTATGTTAGGTTAGATCATAGGGTTGATCCTTATCAATGGATCATCTCATTTGGACATAAACTCCCAAAGATGATTATCAGATCCTCATAGCTCGACGAAGATTCCTTAAGGCGGTTATTATTGTGTGTCTGCTGATATATTTCAATCTCATTATGGAAAAAGCCTCGCAATAGAGGAGAAAGTGAAAAATTGAGTTCACCCCGCCTTTCTCAATACAGCATTGACAAAGAGCGTCCAACAGGATATTTAGCCACTCCGCGTGTGAACCTATTGAACAGTGTTCTGTCAGATAACTTGCAATTGCGGCGAGATTGACTTTTCTAAGAACAAGTAGTTCGGAGGACCTCTTACGGTCCATTCTGGGCCAGAAGGATTTCGCATTCGCACAAATTCTGGAAGGTTCATAGATCCAGCTCTAAAATGCAAGAGGATATCGGTAGTAAGGGCAAGCTCATCGGCACCCAAACAAGTCTAATACGGAAGAAGCGTAATGCTATTAAAAATAAGGTCATGCATTCTTTGACTAGTTTTGAGCGTACAGTCGGGATATTTGAAGCCAGTATGGCCGCTCAGCTATCGGAGAGAGTGCACACCTCCCTGTACTTCGGAGCAGTATATTTGCTGCTACTCTGATGGCAGCCATGGTTTGAAAGACGCTACAGCGGTCTGGTAGTCTGAAACTAGTGTTGATGAAGAGCTCCGGACAGAAGAATGTACAACTTAGATCATAAAAAAATGTTAATGTATCGATAGCTCTTCGCACAATCGATTTTTTTCCGAAAAGCACCCAAAATTGAAAACATGAAAATGCGTTTGCTTTTAAAACTAACGGAAACAAGTTTTTGTAGCTAGAAAACTCTTTCCACTCTTATCCAACTACTACTATATACTGTTTCGAACTAATCATTATTTTTTTTACAGCTTAAGAACCAGCGAAACGAACTACCTGAACGAAGCTTATCAATTTTATGCAGCTATTAGGGGTAGGGCTTATTACTCGCGTGCGATCAAAGAAGATCGGCCCGATTTAATGGTGAAGAAGTTGCGCTACTATGCGCGATTTATTGTTGTTTGTTTGCTGTTGAAGAAAATGAAGCTGGTTCGTGAGCTAGTGACGGAGCTGGAAAAGCAAATACAGGAATACACAACAACGTAATTATGAATAAATCCAAAACATAGCACAAATAATTCAATTATTTTCTAAGTATCTCAACTAAAATCGATTTTCCATTGCAGTTACGAGCCAGAAGATCATTTAGAATGGTCATTAGTTTTAGAAGAGATTAAAGGTTTTATAAAAGCTGAAGCTGCCGTGGCTGTTCTTCATGCGGATTCCAATCCCATCATACTTTCACACAGGTGAGCCAAAACGCAAAATTAAACACGGACGCCGTGAAAACGCCGTCGCCCGCGCCCGTGCTTTCTGTGGGAGGAAATAGAATTTAATTAAACCTAAAAAACTTACTTACTAACTAACAAAAAAGAAAAATGTAAAATAATACTGCGTGTTGAATTGTACATATTTATTTTGGGAGGTACTCTGGTTACATATTAATTTCGAACTTTAATTTGATTTGGTAAAAACTAAAAAAAGAAAAAATTCTTTAAAAATAAGTTATTTTTATGGTTATTAATAACATTTTGTTGTTTTAATCGATACGATATTTATATATAGGTTATTGTGCTTATCACAGAAGACTTGAAACATCCGAAACAATCATATAACAACATCAAAGTCATGTATGCATACATTATTTTCATTCTCAATCGCCAGTACATTTCATGCATTTATTCATGATTACATAATTACATAATTACAGTGCATAACAGTTTTATTTTGTCGAAATTTTCGAGCTCGAAATGCGATTTTTTAGTTTATTCTGAATTTGTTTATATTTTTCACAACTCAATTGCTTATGACATTGTTGTTGTTATCATTATTGTTGTTAAGTTAACTCCATCTCACCGATCAACGCGTCACTTGCACACACATGTCAGCCAGTTGATCAGTCAAATCACAACCTCACGTCACACTCCAGCAAATCCCTTCACCACAATTTTCACAATCACTGCGTGTCGCAACAATCGACACGCCCACTGCCCACTTCCACACACTCGCCACCTTCCCACACATTCACACCATTTATAGCATCACATTCTCAATTCTTCTGTGAAAGCACGGGCCCACACTGCCGTCTCTTTAGAATAGCTTGACTTCACCAACTGATATTCAGTGGTTCCGGTTCTAGGTTGTCGCCGCTAACGACGCCACCATGTGAACGTTCGCCGCACATGACGTTGAGCCTGCAGGAGATACTCATTGTTGGCTCGGCGTGCGAACAGGCGAAATTCTCTGAGTTAACAATGGACATGTTTAGGTAAAGTCATATACAATATAAAGTAAACGTCGTAAAATTTAACATTAATTCTTTTTATTATTGTAGAATGTTGCAAACACTCGAACGGGAACCAACGGAATCAACGCATCCGATGAGCATCACACATGGCATGCACGGGCACGATGCCAGCCCGGCTGCCAGCCGCATACCACCATATGGTGTTCCAGGTTCTAAGGGTTACTTAGAAAATGGCCGTCATTATCGAGACAATCCTCACAAATATTTACTATACAAGCCTTCTATTAGTCAACTTCTGGTGTTCTTAGCTAGTGGATTTAAAGAATTGCCTCCAGGAGGCGCATTACTCTTATATATGTCAGCTGATGGTTGTTTCTCGACTACAAAACATCCAGAGGACTGTAAGTAAAAGAAAATATGGAAATGTTGCACCTTTAGTTATGATTCAATTATTATTATGGAAGGAAACACAAATTTTGAAAGTAATTTCACGTTGTCTTTCTTCAAGTTGAATTTTTGAAGTATTATTTTATTTTGCACTAAACTGAGTCCGGGCAACGTTAAGTTATTGCCCCAGTCTTTGGCATAGCAATTTTAAAACACAACTTCAATGAAATGAATTACAAAACCCCGGAGTCTAGCCAACGTATTCAAGACTAACATTTGAGGTTATAGATCTGGAAAGAACGGTCGCTTAATGAAATGGTTACATTTGCCACGCAAGTACAATACAATTTTTAGTTAATTATTTTTTATTTACTTTGACTGCCAATAATTATTAGAACGTAAATGAAGAGGTTTCGGAAAGAATGGACAGTTAAGACATATCTCTAGATGTCAGCTAAACTATATCGAAACCTACCAGTATTTTTATAGAGATCACCCTGGAGTTATTAGTTCCAAGCAGAGCGGTCACATAAAACGTAGAAAGAAACTTTCTGAAATATATTGTTGATCTAATATTGAACACAAGATAGGAAAATTTATCTAAAAAATTTAAATTGTGATTCGGGTTCGTTGTGAAATGACTAGAGGCTTATTTAATGTAAGAAGACAAACTGTCCGATAGAAATTAACATATGAAGAATTGAGTATTTAACATATTTCTTCGTTGTCAATTACATTGAAAAGAAAATGTATTGTAGAATTTATACTGCCAAATTGTTAAATATTAATGTAATGATCATGTTCTTTTTTCTATATTAAATTTATAGATGGTTATGAATTGGGTGGCCTTGCTACGAGCGTCAAGCGTGATGGCGTCGAAGGCGGTGGTATAGCGTGTCGAGGGAAGTCCTATAAGGAGAATCATTGTTTGTATCCCGGCGACTTGTATCCATTCACACGAAGACCAATGTTCATTATCATCGATTCGGATAATTCATTTGTCTTTCAACACATCCCTCGGTACTTTGGCCAACCATTAGTTATATTAATGTCACCGCAGGATGTACCACCCGCATTCCAAAGTAATCAAATTTATATCTTCCACATAAATATTTTATCCTGTCATTACTCATCATTTGGAATTAATTTTTTACAGCTGATGTTCAACATCATGGTTCGCTATTCACATTGTTCCTGCATTCCCCACTGACGGCGCTCTGCTACACCTGTAATGTCGGTGATGTGCCCATACATCATTGGGAGCGTTGCCAATCGCATGTAGACCGTTTCATAACAGAGGCATCAAGACTTGTGACGCGGTGTCGCATCGATGAAATCGAGCAGGGCATAGGTTTTATAGGTGCATATTTCATTTGAGTGTGTGTAGTAAAAATGTGAGTGATTAAATTTATTTGCTTTGCAGACTCATCGTACGTACAGTTCTTCGGTGATGACTTTTTACGTACGCTAATACTACGTTTCGTCTTCTGTGATGTTGTACTGCGATTGCATCGTGGTTTTCGTGGACGTCATATGAGACCACGATGCGAGCCACCATTGCCATCCAATGAGTTACTCGAACACCCATCACTGTCGCATATTATATTCCAATTAGCGTCGGCGCTCGATGTGCGCGGTCATTTTTCCGATGGACCCGAATGCGACTGATGATTTTTTAGTAATACTTGTAAAAATATTTATTATTTAAATTTACTTGTAAAGCAAACAATAGTCATTAATAGTACAGCAATAGCAAGACAAACACGCAAGTTGGCAAAAGTTAACTCTGGTAATAGCAATATTATTAGGAGTGATCATAAAATTGCGAGTAAAAGAAATAAATTTAATTATTACGATATTTATTATAATAAAATTATTGTAATTTTCTATGAAATATTTATAACTATTTACATTTATTTTTTTCTTAGTATCGGTTCCATAGCGACTTTTTTACAACATACATACTTAGGTGCATACAAGCATGTTTGCAAAAAAAATAATTAATTATAAAAGCTGTAATCGTAAAAAAAAAATAAAACAAAAAAATTCAAATAAATAATTTTATTTCTTTTCTCACAATTAATTGTAATAAATTGTAGATATACTTTATGGTTTATGACAGCTAACAAATTTTACAACTGAGCGAAATATAATATTATTACGATAAATTAGTGCTAAACCAAAAACATATTGCTGAGCTTCAATTGATGCAGAATATCATAAAAATAATGTCTTGAAGACATACTTACATGCATACATATTAAACTCCGTATGTATGTATAACGCTGAAAAATTTATAAAGTTAAAAGCCGAAATATATTTATAATAGTATGGGCAGGACAGAAAACTATGAAGGGTATACGCTTTGACGAAGAGGATATACGAAATTCTACTTGCTGTGCTTAAATGACTTTCAAAGTAATTTATTCATAATTTTATACCCTGAACAGGCTATATTAAGTTTGGTACGAAGTTTGTAACACACAGAAGACGTCAGAGACTCTATAACATGTATGTATATAAATTATCAGTGTGACAAAGTAAGCAGATTTAGCCATGTTCGTATGTCTGTATATGCACAAACTAGTCAATCACTTTTTGAGATATGGGTTCGAAATTTTTTTCTATGTTTTAACAAAAGGCTGCTCATTTGTTGGACTACCATAGCATATCGCTGTCATACAAACTGATCGGTCAAAATCAACTCCTTGTATGGAAAACTTTTTTATTTTACAAGATATCTTCACAAAATTTGGCATGCTTTATTGTCCACGGCAACACTGCAGTCACTACAACAAATAGTTCAGATCGGACCCCTACAGCATATAGCTGTCATACAAACAAACGGATCAAATTCAAATTATTTTTATTTGTCAAGGGTATTATAACTTCGGTTCAAGCGAAGCTAACATTTTTTTTTGTTGAAATTATATTACGAAATTTTTTAAAAATATTATCTATTAAATAAGTTGTTCAGTTTAACTGTCATTGTTATATTATTTTCATTTATTCACATTTCATGTTATACTATTTTTATATAGGTATACTGTACCAAAGCCTGTGTAGAGAATAGTATCAAATATCTGTATAAAAAAATTTATTAAGTTCCGGTTCGAAGATAAAAACTCTTCGCATTTTTTGTGATTTCTGATCAAGTTATGGAATTTTAGATTTTTTGCTTTACTCTGACAAAAGATTTCGCGATCAATATCAATCACGCTTGTTCCAACTTTGAAATATAAAACTGTATAACTAAATTTTTTTTCGAATCGAATTGCAAAACATATCTATTTGGGCCGTTTTTTCAAAGTCTGGAAAATATTATCCTAAACCGTAGCTTAACTTGATGATAGCTTTAACAGACAGAACCGTTTTTACCAAGTTGTGGTTAGCTGCCCTACAGATAGTTCGATTATTGTCAATTTGTGGTGAAAACAATTTACAAAACTTGCATTGTGAACACGCAAAACTGTGTAAACGTTATGAGCCATGTGACCGGTTTTCGTAGGCGAGCGGACGACGAGGAAAGACGAAGAGACCGTGTCGTTCGTGCTTGGGTGGAAAACCAGTTTTCATCATGTTGCCGATAAAGTTCTGGTTAAGCGCTTAACCAGATATTGAGAAAACGGCTAAGGACTGTTTTTTGTTTTAGTTTGGATATTGAAAAATCTGTTAGAAAAAATTATTTCTTATACATTTGGTTATAATTATAAGAATTATTATTTTTTTGAACGCATTCTTATTTTTATATAAGTATTTTTTTATTTATGAACTGTTGGACCTTTTAAACCAATTGATATATGTATATATTATCCAATCTTTTAAGTTAGAAAAAACTGGCCACAGGGACGCGAAAGTTTAGTGAACTCGGTTCAGTAATTTAGGAGCTTACCTCGGACAAAAAGTGACACGTAATTTTTATTTCAGATATAAACTATCCTATCTTTAAAGTTAGATCAAACTGGACACAGCGTGCAAAGTTTTACTTAATTCTGCTCTGCAGTTTACAAAAACTTTACGGACAAAACTTAACGCGTAGTTCTTATATATATAAGATAGGGGTTTCCATCCATTAAAATCGTTCATCATCCATTCTTAAAAAATCCTAAATAATCTATGTATATTTGAGCACATATATTTAAAGAAATATACACAAGTAAAATTTTTTCAATAAATTTTTTTTTTTATTATTCTTTTTTGACTTTTACATTGTAGGTATAAAATTATGAGACAGACCTCGCTATATTTTGCAAAAATAGCAAGCAAAGTCATTTGAGCACAGTAATCGCTGTTGTTGCGTCCCGGTATGAGTATAAAAGCTTTAAATATTAGGATGCCCATGGGCATCCAGCGCTGTTAGTTAAGATGAAGCTTTAAAAGCTGCAATAAATTCAGTTAAGTACTAACATATATCTATTATTCTCTACCTCTTATTTAACTAGTCTTTCTGCCAACCAAAAGGCAACTAAAAAAACAAACAAAATGTCCTTTATGCTCATGACTGGTCACACAAATCACAACAGTTGAACACCGATTTGCTAATTCAAAAGTTATATGCAAATATAATACAAATGTGAAAAAGCAAAAACAAAATATAATAAAAATACAAATACAATTTAAGTATTATAATGCAGGAGAATGAAATAAAAGCCGGATATACAGTTAAACTTAGCTCACTTTCTACATATACGCAAATGAAAAAATAACATAAACATTAAAACTTATAATATAAAAAACACAAAAAAAAAACACTAAAAAATAATTACAAATAATAAAAAATCAAATAAAGATCGAGCAAAAACGTACGAAGCAAACTGTATTTTTACTATATAAATTAATAAAACGCCGTAGGTTTGTGTGAATGGCTACACAGCAACAATATTCATGTAATGTAATATATATATATAATGCGCTAGGTATGTTGATGATTAATATGATAAATTAATATAAATACATACATACATAAAAAAATATACTCATTTTATAATATATTTTTGCGGAAAAAATTTTATACGATGCAATGAAAACCAAAACAAAATATATATAAATATAAATACCATAACTATAAATTTAAATTACCATAAACTAGCATATACATACATACTTATAAATATATATATAGTATATATATATATATATATATATATAATATAAATAATAAATTTATACTAATGAATTATGATATATACAAAATGAAGTGAAAGCAGCAAAGCAAATCAATAGCATTAAATAGGCAAATGAGAGCAGCAAATAGCGTGGGAGGCGAACGAAATTTATACATACACACAAACATATATAATATGTGACAACAAACAGAGGAGCATAAGCATGTAATAATGGTTATATAGCAAAATGACTGTAATATGTATTGACGATGATTACCGAAACTAAAAAATAAAACAATAGCAAAAGTGTGGATAATAGGACAGGATTTCCTATTAAATTGAGAATACTGGGGGAGAATTGCAAAAACTGTGTATACAAATTTGTTTCAAGACAAACCTCTTCCTATGCTTTTTTCGTAAATGCAATGTTTCCACAATGCGGCTGAGGGCGACGATTTTTTAAGCGGTTTGAAGAGTCCAAAACTTTTAAGCAAACATTTATAACATAATATAACCCTCATTATTTATATATGCAAAAGCTAGTTAAAAGTGGTTTGAAAAATATTTATATTTGAAAGCAGCTATTTTGTAAAAACTACATAAATTTTCATAAATGCATATTTTTCAAAACATATTAACCCTCAGTCCATTGTAAAATATTTATCTTGCTAAAAATGTTTGCCTAAAATTGCCAGAATATTTATACAAAACATAGTTATTTACCATATATACCTGTAGTGTACTGCAATAAATCTCGATTATAACCTTTGGAGTTTCGATTAATTACGCTTTGTTAAATGACCGTTATATACTATATACTGTTCGCGTGCAAAAAAAAAAAAAATTTACAAGTCAAAATCTTTAGTAGTATATACAAAAATACATAAATTCGTGGAATTTGTAAAACCCAAAAGTACTTACGTAACCATTAAGTAACTTCCTTTCTCAAAAACAAAAAAAAAAAAACAAAAAACCAAAAAACACAGAAAAAACCACGCCCATAAGAGTTTCAAACTTGCCACCTACATTTGTTTAATCATTTTGAAAGTGAAAACGAAATAATAAAACCAAACAATTATGTAATAACTTAAAGTAATATTAAAAAATATACATACATACAATATATATATATATATATACATATATTAAATTTTGTAATTAACTGGTGGGTCGTGCAGGGCAAACTTGTTGGCGTTCATTGAATGAAAACTCGCTTGAGAGCCGGTTAAAAATATTTAATAAATTCAACATAAATCTTAGCAAATATACTAAACTGCAAAAGAATTAACAACAAATTATGGCAGCCAAGCAAAAAATTATATGAAATAAACAATATTCTGCATTTAATCAACTAACATATTGATATACAAACTCATTGCAAACATTTACATAGGAGCAGCAACTAACATACATACGTGTACTTTCAGCCAATGCACACACACACACACACGCAAAAGAAGTCCAAGAAAGTTAGTTTCTAACAAATTGAGAATAAAATTTAAGCGCTTTCATCCATTTGTACCCCCCAAATCTCATCAATGCATAAATAAGTACAGTATATACATACATACAAACATACGTAGTAGCAATTTAGGGGTTCACTGCCGTATTGTCCGGCCAAAGGCTCCAATTATTCATATACTCCCATGCAAACGAACATAGATAATACCAACATTCATACATTATACAATAACAGTAAAGTTTGGAAGGTGTACCACTTAAATAAAACAACATAAATTCTTAATGCATTTAATGTCAAACAGCCAAACGAACTTGAATTAACTGTATTAATTTCAGCTGTTATGCATAATAAATTACATACGTACATCCATAGATGCGAAGTGCATGCATGCTAACATATACATACATACATATTCGTAAATGCACACTAGTAAATGTGCACCAATACAAAAAGCAACAACATCATCATTATCATGTTCATAATCATTAGCAAAACGAATTGGTAGTGGAAGGTGATTTCTTAAGGTAAATATAACAATAGTTGAAGGCAAGCATACATATGTATTTGAATCGAATTCATTACTCGATTACACGAGATATGACAACAACAAATTTGTAAACAATAATAATAAAATGTATAGAAGATGGAAATGATAAAAGGTAAAAAGCATAGCAAATCAAATAAATGAAAAAGTAATAACGAAATGGAAAATGCAAAACAGCAAAATATTATACATACAATATAAAGAGTAAAATAAAAAGGTGAAAATGCGAGAAAAAATAAAGCACACGTTCGAAAAAATGCAGTTGTTGTTTTATTTACCATCCTGGAAGTAAATAATCGCTCTGTAGAATCTTTTGTATATGAGATTACTGATTGAAAAAAAAAATTAATACAAATATGGAATTAAAACAAAATTTAAAGGTAAACAAATTTAATTTAATTAATTTAAAGCTTATAATTAAAAATTAAAAAAAAAAAAAAATTAGAAAGAAATTAAAATTACCATTTGGGTTATCTAAAAGGAAAGTTGATTTTGAATGATATATCCAACATAGTTTAGCTCTTTTTCTTATATTTATTTTAAGTTGCTTTAAATTATAGTATTTCAGTAAGAAATATGTATATCATTCCTTTTTTTCCCTTTTCATTCCAGCTTTTAATATGAAAAATTATTTTTATTTGTTACCCCAATTTTTGAATTCAAAAATATTTCCAAAATTTCTTAATCCAACATTTCTGGCCTTAAAAATTGAAAAATGAATTTTTAGTCCAAGATGTTGTGATACAAAATTGAAAATCTATTTTCAAAATTGTTGAATGAAATGTCTTACAACCCAAATGTCTTACAAAACAAAATTATATTATATTATTATTTTCCAATTCGTTTTAATTTTATATTTTTATACCCATGCAGATAGATCAACAATAACAAATAAAATGATTAATACGTATTAATGTGTGAAAAACCACCAAGTAAATTTCTTGTACCAAATACTAAATTAGTATCGCAAAGTACTCGGTACATTAAAGAGCGCTTGCTTGGTTGTTGGCAACCCTTTACCACTATAATAGCGCCGCAGCTGTCAAAGCGGCTTTGCTCTGATTTCACTGATTTGTGTGCATAACCATGTTTTTGTTGTTCTTTTGTTTTGTGCTGTCATCCATTGTTTTGACCACAGCGCTTACAGCAAGCGAATCAGAAACAGTGAAAGTCAAAACAAAAAGATGAGTTTTTTGACGTGGCATACAAGTTTATTACTATCGGCATTTATTTTAATTTGTTGCTTAACATTCACTACGTCGAATGACGAAACTACACAGGAAATCCATAAGCCATGGTATGAGAATCTGCCAGCGGTAGCCATGGACTATAAGGTGCACATTGACGCTGGCAAAGAGGATTGCTACTACCAATATGTGCAGGCGGGTGCCACATTCTATGTATCGTTTAGTGTAAGTACGGAGTGTAGCTGTTTGGCAGAAACTTCAAATATTTGAAAGTGTAGTAGTACTGATTTGTTTGCAAATTCGTAATATTTAGGTTGTACGAGGCGGTGATGGCATGGCCGGCTTTGCAGTGCGCAATCCCCAAAATCAAATTGTGAAGCCATATCAATGGCAGGCCACTGCTGATTATACCGACCAAGTATCGCCTGGTGGCTACTACTCCGTCTGCATTGACAATCAGTTCTCACGTTTTGCCGGCAAGTTGGTAAACATTTACATCACAGTCGTGAAATATGATGCGTGGGACAAATATGCCAAGGAAATTGAAGAGCTGCAACTGAATTTGCAAAATTTCACAGTAAGTAAAGGAATTTTTTGGTCATTCTCTAAAATGCTAACAAGAGGTTTCTAAAAACGATTGCCTATTATATAATTCCAAATATTAATTTAAGGTTACTCTTGGTACCGTGGAGCGTAACATCAACGACATGTTGTCCTACCAGTCCTACAGTAGAAATCGTGAGGCACGTGATTTTGCATTACTCAATGATAATAACGGTTACATTCAAACATTCTCCATCTGCCAAATTGCGGTTATTATTGTGGCATGTTCCATACAGGTTGGTAACGTTTAAAATTTTCTTAATGTTGAATTATATAATAAAATTTAATTACATTTTAGGTCTTTTTCGTTCGAAAACTTTTCGATGTGAAATTGTCATCGAAATCACGGATTTAAATTAAACTTGCACTTTCAAAATCTAATTTAATCTGTTGCTACCTAAGCTGCTAAGCTACGAACAACTAAAAGAAATTCTTTTTAATTTTAATGTATTTTTGTAACTAAACACTACCATTTTTGCACTAAAAAATTTCCATTTTGCCACTTATTCACATTACGATGAAAGGAGGAATTAAAAAGACTTGTTTGAAGCATTCTTTGAAATTATATATTAATATGCTCTTTTTGACAGTTTATCATATAAATGTTCATATATATTTTTCAACTCAATATGTATGTAAGTGAGAATGTGTGTATTTTTATAAAATAAAAGAAGTTGTAT